CAAATTTCCATGGACTCCAAAGGACTGGGGACTCTTGCACACCGGGGTCTCTGCTGCAGCCTGCAATGCAGGGTAGATTGTGCTTGCAGACAAATTACGCAAGGCATTTCAGCGCTCGCATCCATGCGGCAGGCTCTGGCCAGAAGCGCTTGTTTCAAAGGGCTGGTCTCTCCAGGAGTGAGGTCTTACAACATTTCAAGCTCCACTGAGAAAGGTCCACCCCACTCACTCAGTCCCTTAGATGATGCAGAGAAGGCCTCTCCAACAATGACATTTTTTTTTCAGGAGGGGAACCATCTGGTTCTTATCAAAAAGAACAAGCTATGCTTAACTGGAAAATAAACTCGCTTAAAATAAGCAACGCGACTGCACACCGTCGTCATCTCAGCCTGTGCTGCTCAACCCCCCTTGCTCAAATGGACTGCAGAACATTCGCTTCAGCATCAAAGAGCAATTAACAGAGAGCATTGGATGGAAAGAGCAGCATCACGCTGAGAAGCACTGTAACTCTCGGATCCAGCCATTTAAGCTCTGCTCTTGGCGGTGTCCCTTTCGCTCTGCAGAAGGGTGTGTTTGTGTGAATGCACATGGCAGACAATCAAGGAATCACACTATAGTAAGAGCTGGAGGGGGGCCATGAAGGCCATCTAGTCCAACCCCCTGCAGGTGCAGGACACCAAATCACACCATCCCACTCAGAGGGCTGCCCAGTTTCACCCTGAACGTCTCCAGTGTGGGAGAGCCCCCCACCTCTCCGGGCAGCTGGTTCCACTGTTGTGTTGCTCTGACAGTGAGGCAGCTTTTCCTGATGCCCAGCCTGAATCTCGGTTGTCGCAGCTTGACTTGATTCTTCCGTGTCCTGCACTCCGGCATCAGCAAGCAGAGATCTTGACCCTCCTCTTTGGGACACCCTTTGAGGTCCTTATAGAGGGACCTCATGTCCCCCTCAGTCTTCTCAGGACTGCACATGCCCAGTTCCCTCAGTCTCTCCTCACAGGGCAGTGTTTCCAAACCCTGGAGCATTTCTGTTGCCTTCCTCTGGTCCCTTCCTAATGTTTCTGCATCTTTCTGAAATCTTTGTGCCCTAAATGCTTTTACCCTTCCTAGCAATTTTGAGCAAGAATCAGATGCTTACACTGATGGCAGTCTTCATTCAGAGATCAAAATTAAGGATAACTGTTAAAAATGTTTGACTGAGAATTGTAGGGGTGGCTGAAAATGTAACGTATACGATATCAAACACACTAAAGAAGACTGGCTAAAAGTGCTTTAGGCGAACAGAAACGAAATGGTCCTCTCCTCAGGAGTAGCTGGTCGTGAAAGGCCAGAAAATGCTTCCACCACAAAGACAGCTTTTTTTCCTGTAAAAGCCCTTTGAATTGTACTAAATCCGGCAGCTGCAAATGCATCGGTGTATCCGTTGTTTGGGTCCTTTTAGCATCTGCTCGGTGTCTTTAATTCCTGCCATCTCTCTCTCCGTGCCCCTGGCCAGCTGCTGAGATATGGCGAAAGGGGCTGGTGCTGCTTTTCCAGGCACGCTGACAGCACCACTAATGCCTGGGGGCTTCTGCGAGGTTGCAGAAATGCCCCAGGGCAGAGAACTGCCCGTCCTGTTCCCCCTGCAGGACAGCAGAGACTGCCCGGCTACCAGTCTGCGTGTGGATGATGGAGCTTGATGCACCAAGCCCCAACTCTTCATAAAGTTGCATCCTGCACGTCTAAAGTCTGTTCGGTTTGGCCTTGTGGCTTCTTACAAGGAGGACTAGGGCTGCTGTGGCTGCTTGGACCAACTCTTGACAACGATGACAAAAATGTATGATGATAATAAGAATAAAGACAATGAGAGCCGGCGAGGTGTGGAGGTTCGAGTGTCAGACTGGGTACCTGGGAGATCCGGGTTCTAGTCCCCACTCAGCCACGAGGCTGGCTGGGTGACTCCGGGCCAGTCTCTCTCTCGGATCAACCTACCCCACAAGGCTGTTGTTCGAATAATATGGAGAAGAGGAAGACTGGGTTACCTGGGTTTCTCACAAGAGCAAAAAGGCAGGGTGTAAATGCAATGTAAAATAATAATAGCAGCATTGTTATTTTAGATTAATTCCTAATAACGCATTGTTATGGGTTAATTATTATTGTTTGAGAGAATGGCGGTGGCTCAGGAATGTCTGGAGCTGATCTGGGTGAAGCAGCATGCCGAGCATTTGGCTGGAGGGGCACCCGCGGGTGTTTGGGCAGCGGCGAGATCTCGCTGAGGGTGAAGGCAAGGACTTTTGCTCCAGCGTTGCCCCCTTAAAGAATCTCCTCCTGCTACAGGTGGCAAACCATCAGGCAGACACGCACAAGTTAAACTCCGAGTTTATTTCATCCTTTTACAAAATTTAACATAGGAATATTGTGCTCGTGTCGGGGCTGTCGATCCCTCCCTCCCACATCTTGTCTTTTAGATCACCACTTAAAATCCCATGCTCACAGAGTGCTTAAACTCACCCCTCGGGGCAGGGAATGGAGAGCCAGCGATGGATGCAAGCGGGGGGGGGACTAAAATGGGAGGGGTGTGCCACCCCCTCCCGCCATTGGGGGTCCAGAATGCCTTGTGACAGGAAGCCATTCCCCCTCACCTCTTCCCATCATCTCCAAAAAAAGACTGTCCATCTGACAGAGAGGAATACGGCAGAGTTGCAGTTGGAATATTAGTAACATGCGTGCCCTGGCTCCAGGGAAACTACTGCAAGAACTGATGGTAAGGGGGGGTCCCACAAGCCCTCCCCCCCCCCGCACAATCCCTGCAAATCGCTTCCAGCGAGGGCCGGCCAGGGTCCCTTTGAGGAAGCCTGATCTGAAACAGGCACAGCATCGAGGCGAGACAACCGGCGATCCTAACGGGCACGTGAGGAAGCGCAAATGCACGCTTCTGCAAGAGCGCAGGTCCCGCTGGAAAGGCAGCGAGGAGCGCGGCGGCGGCGGGGAGGCCGAGCGAGCGCCGCCCGGGGCCCAAGCTGGGTCGGCTGCAACCAGCGCAGCACAGGCAGGGCAGGCAGGGGAGCGACCGAGGAGGCTGGGGCGCGAAACAGGACGGGGGGGGGGTCAGCGCGCCGGGAGAGCAGGCAGGGAGGGCTCGGCCCGGGAGACATTCCGGAAAGTGCCCTGCTGCCGTCTTCCTGGCATGCGCCAGCCGCACGCTGTGAGGCGAGGAAAGGCGGCCTCTGGGTCTCTGCACACGCGCTGGAGGCGGCCTGTGAGCCCACGGGGGTTTGTGGAGAGCGGCTGACTTCCGGCACGTGTGTCTGTGGGAGGCGAAGGCCACCGCGGAGAATGGCGGGGGGGGGGGGTCACTGACGACGAGGCCAAAAAGCCCCCCGCTGCCTCCCTCCTTTTTGCTCTGCCTTACAGAGAGAGGGAGAGGGAGAGGGAGAGGGAGGGAGGGGCAGGCAGGCAGGCAGAGGCAGAGAGAGGCAGAGGCAGAGAGTTTCTGAAGGCTGCTCAGATGCAGGGAGGTCAGGATGTGACCCGGACCCGGTATGGGAGAGACAGCATCACAGACAGGTGCATGCTGGGTAGGCAGGTAAGACCCAGCATCTGGGTGGATGCGGGCCACGTCGGACAGTGATATGTGGGCACCGATCCCCAACTCAGTGCCCTCCCCTTGCCATGGACTACACTTCCCACGGTTCTCAGCCAGCACGGCCCCAGCTGGATGGGGACGGCAAGCAGTCTGGTCCAATGCAGCTGGAAGGCACCAGGTTGGGGAAGGCTGTCGTGGTGCATGTCTAACAGGACCTGCCGCTTTTATGGACGGCAACCGGATCCGCTGCCAGGACCCTTTGTTGCTTCTCAGGGGAAGGAGTGGAGAGGCGGCTCCCTCGCTGCCTAGGCCTCGCTGGAGCCCAGAGGGACACCCCTGGGAAGCGGCACCCACGGGACCTGAGCAGGATGGGAAAGCCCCCAGGAGGAAGGCGGCGGGCCCTGCCCCACACTGGGCGCGGGCTGAGCTTGGCGGCATCTTGCCGGGCTCCTGGCACTTCAGTCCCCACAGAAACGCTGGACCCCGCAGAAGAGGCGGGAGGCTGGGGGGGGAGGCACAGGGCAAGAAAGGGGGCTGGGGGGCGCGCCGGGGGCCGGCCCAGTCAGCCCGGCGGCTGCGTGCGGCAGCGCTCGGCGGCACTGCCCCCCGAGTATGGCGGAGGCACCGAGGCCGTGAAGGCGGGCGAGGAGGAAGGCCGTGTCCGCGAGAGAGACAGAGAGAGAGGAAGCACGGGGCAGCGAGAGAACGGCGAAAGACGCAGGCACGTGAAAGAGGCGGCGCTCGCAGCACCAACTGGGGGGACCCTCCCTGGAAAGCAGCCGCGGCGCACGGCACTGACGGAGCGGCATGGCCCGCCGGCACAGCGCCAGCGCCTCCCCGAGGCCGGAGGGTGCGCGGCTCTCCGGCTGCCGCACTGCAACTCCCATCGGCCTCAGCCGGCAGAGCCGACAGGGATGGCACAGCCGCTGCCAGGCGCCCCGGCACAGCTTCCAGAGGGTGGGCCGAGGTGCTGGCCGTCAGCAAAACGCCGCCTGGGGGCAGGTGCTGGGGGCACCGGCTGGAGAAGGCGTGTGCAGAGTGGCCAGGAGGCGCACGAGCCATCAGCAGGCACATGGGACAGGCAGGTGAGCTGCTGGGGGGGGGGGGCTTGGCTTTACCGCAGCGGAGGGGGCGCTCTCCAGCAGCTGTGAGCTCCAGGGCGTGGGGAGGAGAGAGGAGAGGCGGGCAGAGGAGGCATTTCTCAGAGAACAGACCCACCTGTTACTCGGCAAATCCCAGCCAAATCAGACGCGGAACGCTCAAGCCGCGAGTGGCAAAGGGCGTCTGGGGGCAGCACGCCCCCCACAAGCGTGCACGGGGTCACGAGGAGCAGGGGCCTTCCCTGGGAAGCGTCCCGTCTTCCCAAACTAGATATGGGCCGGATACGAATCAGAACAAAAACGGAATAAACCCCCCCCCCCCCCCCCCCCCCGTCAACAAAAATAGAAAGCCTGGCAAGGCGTATCTAAAACCCTTCCATTTTAAATAATAACATTTTAAAACCCCCCCGCTGGGCCTGGGCCGGCCCCCAGCCAGGGCATGGGCCGAGGCCTCTGCTCCCTCCCCCCACAGTGTGATCCGAGGCCGAGGCCGTGGACGGCCCCGCGCGACGCCGTCCCTGTGGGGCTGCGCAGGCGCGGGCTCCGCACGCGTGCCCCCCGGCACGGGCAGAGAGACGAGTCCCGGGGCATGGCCTGCCCCGGCATCTTGCGGGAGGCCGCGCGCCTAGATGAACTTGAAGCATTTCGTTTTGTCGTGAGGCAGGCGTGTCTTGAAAAGGACCGAGTCCACGCGGAACTGGGTGTACAGCAGAGGCATGTAGCCATACACCCTGACGAAGAAGTTGATGCACTTGTGCCGCTCGTGGAAATGCGAGTCGTCGTGGGAGAGCGCCTGCGGGCAGCCGGGGCAGCGGAACGTCCAGCGCGAGGTCACCTGGGCACGAGAGAGCAGGAAGGCGGTCAACTGGGGGGCGCGGCAGAGGCAGAGGCCCAGCCTCCACCCGCCGATCCAGCAGCAGCTCGCGGGCGGGCAGGATCTGCGGCCCAGAGCTCAACGGTGGGAAGAGGCCCCTCGGGCGACTTCCGCACAGATGCTTTCCTGCCATTTGTTCTGCACTGAGTCCTGTCCACAGGCCAAGACTGGCTTCCGCAGGCCGTCACTGGCGGAGACGGGGCCTTTTCAGTGGTGATGCCAGAGCTGTGCTGCAAGCTCTCCAGGAAGAGGGTCACGGGGCTCCCCCACTTCCTGTATCTAGACGGGCTTGGAAATCTTGCTTCATCTGAGTGGGTTTTGAATGCTTATGCTCTCAAACTGGTTTCTAACGCACTGTTGCGATATTCGTGCTCTTCTCCTCCTTAGGTTTGTCTATTTTAATTACCGGATAATATGCACAATTTCAAGCTGCTTTCAATGTTAATGTGACAGAAAAACAGGGTAAAACTGATTAAATAAACAGATGAACATGTCAGCAAATCCAGATCAAAGAGGAGCTTGGAAGCTTGCCTTGCACGCACACGCACACACAGAGCTAAAATGATAATTGTTCGCTGCCACATCCCACACAGCTGAGCATCTCTGCACACATTTTAAAACTTGGGGAAAGGTGCAGAGAAGAAGTAGGTCATGCTGTGTGGGATGTGTCAGCAAATCCAGATCAAAGAGGAGCTTGGAAGCTTGCCTTGCACGCACACGCACACACAGAGCTAAAATGATAATTGTTCGCTGCCACATCCCACACAGCTGAGCATCTCTGCACACATTTTAAAACTTGGGGAAAGGTGCAGAGAAGAAGTAGGTCATGCTGTGTGCTTCAGGGAAGGCTTATTACGCAAGCTCTATTTATCCCATTGTCTTTAGCTGAGCTTTCAGAGCCTAAACTCTGTCCTTTAATCAAAGGAAGAAGTCGAGTGGATCTGGCTTTTCAGGGGACTGAATTTCCTCGCCGAAGCTATTCCTAGCAGTCGCGACAATTTATGGTAAGTCTGGTCTGTGCTGCTGGTGGTATATTGACCCTGCCCTACATGAACGGCCAGTTCAAGAAATATTATTTCTGCATGCCCACCCCTTCCTTTGGGATTTGGAGGGGAGGAATACTGGGAGCGTGTGTGATGGGAAGTATCACAACTGGAAGAATCTTTTCCCATCAAGTCTTTTTTACAGAGTCAGCTGATCAAATCTTTAATCGATTAAATGTTCCACTCTTCTTGGCCAAGTGGGTTCAGAGGATTCGTTGCATGCCCCATTTGGCGCTTTCTGGATATTCTGGACTACCGCTTCCATCAGCCCCAGACAGTGGTCAGATCTGGAAGTTATAGTCTGAGACATCCGGAGAGCACCAAGTTGGGGAAGCTTTCCCTATCCTCACAAGCGAAAAAACGAGGAGAAGACGAGAGAAGAGGAGTCAGTACCCATGAACATTAGACCTGCAAAAATGTGATGCTGAAAAGAGGTTTTTCTTCAAGAAAAACAGGCACTTACCTTGATGGGTGGCTTCCTCGTGATATGAGAAACCAGGAAGTTCATGGCGATATCCTCACAGTTGATGTATTCGTCCACCATGTCACGGATGGCCTGTGGCATCACGTAGGAATACAGGTAGGCGTAGTACTGCGGGTGGAAGAAAGCAGGTTGGGCCCTATCCAGGTGGGGATCACAAGCAGCTCTCTGGCCCAGGTAGGCGTGTGATGGGAGAGGGACGCCCCGCAGGCCGGCTACCAGCGATGCTCCCGGGAACGCAAGAATGGCAGCTGGGAGCGGCAGTCGGCTTAGCTGGAGAGCAAAGCCCCACAGCCTGGTGCCTTCCAGATGCGCTGGACTACGGTTCCCATAATCCTACGGCTCACTAACAGCACAAAGAAGAAGGCTGCTTATTTTCAAGAATCCAAGACCCCAGAGAGGTCCGCCTGGCGCCGTCGTTATTTGTTTTTCGGCGCCAGGCGAGGACCTTTTTATTGAAGCGTCATTTTAATTGTTAATATTATTTGATTATTTTATCTGGCCAGGGTGACTTAGTTTATATTGTTATTTCTTGTATTTTAACCTAATGTTGTGAGCCGCCCCGAGGCTTCGGCAAATGGGGCGGCATAGAAATGTTTTAATTAATTAATTAATTAATTAATTAATTAAGAAAACATTACAAAAATCCCCAGCTGCTCAGAAGGACGGAAAGGCAGCCTCGCACGGTGCCTCTCATCTCAACAGCGTGACTGAAGCAGCTGGGCCTGGGAGACACATCCAGAGCCTCGCTTTCGCCGAGGAGGCCCTGGCACCGAGCCGCTCCGGAGCCACGGGTTGGTCAGCAGAGGAGGCGCAACTGCTCTTAACATGCATGTTCCCGGCAGGTGGCTTTGCGTCGCCTCCGGCACGTGCTGAACACGGCAAGAACGTTCCAGCGGGCATCGCACGGACAGCCCGGGAGGCTGCCGAGGCTGCTCAGCCACGCTCCTCCTCCAGGGCTGCCCCCTGCAACCTCGAGCTGGGCTCAGCAGCGTTCCAGCTCCGGACCGCACTGGCTTCCCGCGCCAGGGAGAAAGAAGAGGGGCTTCCTTTGCGTGGCAGATTTCCCCGCAGCTTCCCTTGCCGTCGAGAACGGGAGCGGTTCCGAGGGAGGGAGGGAGGCCGTGTCCTGCCACGCACCCCTTACCTTGTGGAAGAAGGCGGCCCCCGTCAGCACCATGGACAGTTCACAGGAGTAGTTTGAGTTGTAGAGCCAAGACTGGTGAGGGATGTCCCATGCGTGGTACCGCCCCGGGAACCCAACGATGCGGTCCCTGGCCTCTCTCCAGACCCTGCGGGTGTGAAGGCAAGAACATGGCTGGGCAAGGAACAGCGGGCACGGTGGGTAAGGAGGAGAGCGGGCACTGCCCAGCAGACACGAAGAGTCTGGGGGCCAAGTCAAGGACAGACGCTTCCTGAGTTGCTTCAGGTGGTCATCTCTGTGGGTTCAAGTCAGAACAGCCTATCCCTGCCCGGAGGACTGGGCGATACACAGAACTGAGGCCCGCTGTGAAGGGCAGCCCAGCCACACCCCCACAGATCCTTTCTGGCCTAGCATCTCCGTGCCTTCTTGGCTTCCCCTGCAATTTTTCTGAAAAAGAAACACGACTCTGTGCTTTCTCTTTTAATTTGCATTCATTAATGCCAAAGCCGCAGGCAGGGCACGGGGAAGACGAGTCGGTGCACTGATCACCGCCTTGGAGGGAAGGGGACTGGTGGATGTAGGAGGGAGCAAACAGTTGCTGAGAACATCTGTATTCACGATTCAGAAGTGTTTCTGCTCCTTATTCCACATTTTGATCAATTCACTGTCCGGCAATCCTGGAGTGGTAAATCTGTCTAGTGAATGCTTCTCTTGCAGGCCACTGGACTGAAATGCAGGTTTTTCTTGGAAAGTGCCTTCAGCTGGCCTCGAATTCGTAATGCGCCCGCCTTCCTCAACTCCCATCAGCCCCAACCTGCATGGCCAAGGGTCAAGAATGCTACGAATTGACACCCAAAACATCTGGAAGGCACCATGCTGGGCAAGGCGATGTTACATAGTGTGGATAATTCTTACTACCTCCCTTCCCTGGGAAAACGGCCACCCGGCCAAATTTGGCGGGGGTGTGGGCTGAGCTGCACTCCATACAGAACAGTGGAGCTCAGTTTGGGGAGCCACGGTCCCCACAGGGACAGAGGGGTCACGTGGCACAACTCCTCGGCGCTCTTTCCCGCAAGCAGCAGCTGCCCGTGTGGTTGGGGCTTCTATGAAATCTCACGTGTCACGAGCAAGAGCGGGCCTTTGTACCGGAACCACAGCTGGATTACTGTAAGGCGCTCTACGTGGGGCTGCCCTTGGTCCTTCAACTGGCTACTTCCGGATACTTCAACTGGTTCAAAATAGAGCTGTCAGGCTGGGGATGGGGGGCAGTCATTATTCTCCTATAACGCCAGTCCTCTATCAGCTACACTGGCTCCCAATTGAAGTCCGGGCCCAATTCAAGGTGCTGGTATTGACCCACAAAGCCCTAAACAGCTTGGGAACAGGACACCTGAAGGAGCATCTTTTTGCCCTCCTACCCCTTAAGATCGGCAGGGGGGGCCTTGCTCCGGGAACCCTCTTTGAAGAAGGTATGGAAGGTGTCTACCCGGAGGAGGGCCTTCTCTGCAGTGGTGCCCAGACTATGGAATGTGCTCCCCAGAGACTTTATACACTTTCTAGCACCAGGTAAAGACCTTTTTATTCAACCATCATTTTAATAATTAAGGTTTTTAGATGTTTTAATATCTTTTTTCCACAGTCACATTTTCTATTCTTTTCCTCCTTTCTCTCTTTCCCTTAGTTTTATGAAGTGTTGTTTTATATTGATTTAATATCTACTGTTTTATCATTGTATTATTCTAATTTTTAAATCATTGCAAGCTGTCCTGAACCGTTTGTCGGAAAGGACAGGATACAAATGTTTGTTTAAATTAAATTAAACTATTAATAGAGGCATACTGCTAAAAACAGAATGCCTGTTGCAAATGAATTTCTCTGTGTGGCTGGAAATAAAAGCAAGCTCTGAGGACCTAGTTCCCGCGGATAATTTTCTGGAACAGATCTTCTCCTTTTCTTTTTCTTTTGGGGAGTGAAGGCAAGATGCAGGATTCCTAAGTCTGGAAGTCAGCTAAGAAGCAGTACTCCTCTGTCCCCTGCTCTAAACAGTCTTTCTCCTCTGCAAAATCAAGGTGATTTGGAAGTTAGAAACAAAAATGGTTTCTACCCGCCCTCTGGAATGGAAGGAGAGCCAGCCTTGCTTGCCACGTCTGTCTCTGGCCGCAAGCTCACCGGCTTAGCTCAGGCTTCTCCAACCTGGGCCCCAGATGTGCTGGACTAGAGGGCAGCAGGCTGGGGAAGGTGGAATTAAGCCACCAGATCTTCACTGGAAGAGGCTACGAGGAACAGCGCAAGGGGAGGACAGCAAGGGAGCACAGCTGAGAAGGCACTGGATCTGGGGATGGACAGGCTGGCAGGTTTCACTCACCGGAACCCAAACATGATCTCGTCATGGCGAAGGTGGGCGTCGTCATCAATGGATAAGATGGCTTCCGTTTCAATCTCATCCCAGGGGAGAAACCGGTTGTTCAAACTGTTCTTCTCTGTGCGCACCACCTGTGAAATGCAAATGACGAACGCTTGGTTAATTTGGCGCTGGCCAGATCTTAGGACGGTCCTATGGGGTTTTCCTGCGCCGTTTGAAGCTGCCTTCCCAGCTCAACGCCCTCCAGATATTCCGCACTGTGACTCCAGCAGCCCTGAGCAACAGGTCAGATGGACAGGGAATGTAAGAGTCATGGTCCAAGCCATCTGGAAGGCACCATTTTGCGGAAATCTGCGTTAAAGTGTTGCATAAGAATGACGACTGAGAGCCCACATTGATGTTAAGCACGCCCGGTAGCTTTTTCCTGGGGCGGGGGGAACCATTCATTTCCCACTCCAAATGGAACTCCCCTCTTCTCCCAAAACCCAGGTTTTTTAAAGTGAGCAAACTCTGCAAATGAACTCAGAGAAATGCAGCATTATAGCAATAAAATGCCATTAAATAAGATTACACTTGGATCATATATTAAAAAGAAATCCTGCACTGAAACCATTAGCAGTGGAAAATATTTGTCAGAAGGAACTGGGTGACAGCCGCTATGATTAAATCCCCACATTAAGCCAACATTAGTATTTTCCCCTGTCAATAGCTAAAGGGAGGGAGAGAGAAAAACTTATGGAACATTTGACAGACAAGTATTAGAATGTTTCGTGAAAGATCCATCAAAAGCAGCAACAAAATTTGCAGTACAGCAAAGGCAGACTTCGCAGTGGCCCAAAGCACCAGGTAGAGCTAAGTTTCAGCAGCACTTTTGCACAGGTATGCCAAGGCACACCTGAGATCTTCCCTTTCCACACAGTGTCCCTGATCTGATGACCCTGCTGGTTGCTTCAGCCCACAACACGCTGGATCACATGTGTGTTGGGCATGCTATATATCAGAATTACTGGCATCCAAAGACTACCTCCGGCAAGGATGCTGGTGATAATGCAGAATCAGAAAAATACTCCAAATTACTCAGCAGCTGTTATTAATCTCAAATTGTCAAGGGGGAATAATTAAGGTTCATATCCACAACAAAATTAGCCTTTGTATTTCCTGGATCTTAAATATTAAGCTGCCGAGACTTCACCGTGCATTAAGATAGCTTTTAAGTTCGAGTTCCAAGCAGCTTTGATAGTAATCCATAATAATAATAGCACTAACAATAATGCATCTGTACACGTATATAGATTTGTGCATAATGAGCCAATATTTATTTGGAGATATTTAAGATGCAAACACCCCTGCAAATCAATATGTTCTAAGGAAGTATCTCAAACAGTCAAATCGATTCAGCTTGCTAGTTTCCTGTAAATGTGCCAAAGACAGTAATGCAAAGCGTGCCCCCAGAGAAAAATTACAAACAAATTCTCTCTTAAGAGTATTTCAAATAGACAACTTTCTCTGGAGAAGCAGATTAACTAATACCATGGTTCAGGAAATATTAATTTATAAAAGAGTTCCATGTAAATCCATGGGATTTAGTCAAAAGGAATATTTTTTAGGATGAGCGTGTTAAGGGCTGGATGGACAGAGCTGGTCAATAAACTTTTTGGATGGAAACAGTTAGAATCAATTTGGTGGATTCTGAGATGAAAATCTCACTGACAGACCTTCTCCTTGACTTCCAGATGGGAGAAATGTCTTGCAAATGGCTGTCCAAAATAAAGAGGCCAGTGGAGTTATTTAGAATTGGGCTTATAGACTCAGCTCAAAGAAAATGTGGGCATTACAAGGCCACCAATTTCTTTTGTGGATTGGATTAACATAGAAACAGAGCGAGCCAGAAGGGGTCTCCTGAGCCATCTAGTCTGACCCCCAGCTCCAGCCGGCTCCACTCACGACATGCCCACCATGTGGACGTCCAGCCTATCCTTGAACACCCTCACCAATGGGGCCTCAACCACCTCCCGTGGGAGCCCATTCCACACCCTCGGGGTCCTGACTGTCAGGAAGTGCTTCCTGGCATCCAAATTGAACCTTGGCTCCCTGAGCTTTGCTCCGTTGGAGCATGTTCTGCCTTCCTCTGCAGGGGAGAACAGGTCTCTACCCACCTCCGTGTGACACCCCCTCACATACCTGCATGTTGCCAACAGATCCCCTCTGAGTCTCTTCCAGGCTGAAGAGACCCAGTTCCCTCAGTCTCTCCTCACATGGCTTCCCCTGCAAACTGGCCACCAACCTTGTGGCCCTACGCTGCACTGACTCTAACTTGGCTATATCCTTCCTGTAACGAGGGGCTCAAAACTGGATTAAGACCGCATTAGAGAAGATTTCCCAGCTGACGTATCCCCCAAGAATCCGTCCCTCCACCAAACTCCCTTTTGGGTTGGCTATGGCCACTGCAGCAATTACTCTTCCGTGGGGATGGAGAAGCATCGGCTCTTCTTTCCCTCCCTACTTTCTCGCTGAAACTTGGCGAGAGCATATTGCTCGCCTCTGACCAACCTTGGCAGATCCAGTTTTTCCAGGAGCTACTGAAATGTCAGGGGTCCAAGGACAGCCATATTTCCCAAGAGGCTAACGAGGCATTCTCCCGAGAAAAGACAGAATGGGAAGCGGTGTTGTCTTTTCTCCTTCGCTATGCATAAAGACTTGTAGCTACCACTGGTCCCAGTAAGTAAGCCTTATTGGGAAGAAAAAGAAGGTTGAAGGCAGGCTAGGCAAAATCTGACGGCTCATAAAGGAGCTAAGCATCTTTGTTTTTTGAAGATGGGACACCTGGAACTTGGGGGTAAACTTTTACTAATCTGATGTACAGTATACAGTGTGGAAAATGGCATCCTCAAATCAAAGGAGCAATTTATCCAGTTGGTCCCGAGCAGTGGCAAACTGCCAATTTCAGCAAACAATCCAAGAGCCTGCTATAAATGATGAAAAATGATGAAGATTCCTTTGTGTGGAGTGACTTTTTGCTGCACGGGAATTGTTGGCCTTTAGAAGCATGGAAAAAAGCCAGGCGGGGAGATATAATAATTTCCTTCTAACTGATGCAAGTGTTGTTTCCGAGATAAGATCTAAAAACCTCAGGAATAATTTGCATATGTGTCTCTAGAGCATCTGAAAAATTTACAAAACTACAAATGTGTGTGGAGGATACTGATTCCAAATAATTACACTCTGAAATGTAGATGACTGCATGAAATTACAGATTTAGAGCCAGAGCTTAATAGATCAGAAGAGCTTCATGAAAATACCTTGTCCAAATGAATTTTTAATCAAAAGCAAGTAACAGCCACACAGCTGCCCTGAAAAAGCATGTGTGAGGTAGAAATGCGCTATATTTTTAATCTGCCCTGAAACAAAAGTTCTCTGGGTGGATTACATCAACTGATTTTACATTTCTTGCAGAAAGAAAACCTATTGCTGAATAGGATTTAAAAGAGAACATTAAAAACATTGGAACTATAAGAAATCAGGAAGTCCTTGTCTGCCCTTGAGGGGCTCTGCAGGGATGTTACACAGTTCTGCATACCTCCAAGGAACCTTGTACCGGAAAACAGTTTTGTTTTGTTTTGTTTTGTTTTGTTTTGTTTTGTTTTGTTTTGTTTATTTATTAAAACATTTCTATGCCGCCCCTTGCCGAGGCCTCGGGGCAGCTTACAACATCAAATAAAATACAAAATACATTAAAACAATAACAATTAAAATATATACAATAAAATAAAATAAGCCACCCTGGCCGAATAAAATTCAATAATATTAACATTTAAAATGCTGCTTAAATAAAAAGGTCTTCGCCTGGCGCCGAGAAACAAATAACGACGGCGCCAGGCGGACCTCTCTGGGGAGTGCATTCCATAACTTAGGCGCCACCGCTGAGAAAGCCCTCCTCCGAGTAGCCACCCTCCTAATTTCCTTCACTGAGGGCTCCTGGAGGAGGGCCTCTCCCGCTGATCTCAAGGGGCGGCTGGGCATATTTTATAAGCTAGTAATCTACCCAAATTCATATCAGGGTGATGGGGAGATCCTGAGATCTTCTATAGCAAGGATTTGTACTTGCCCCAACAAGAGTTGTAACTGCCCATCATTAATCCTCACCACCTGCATGTTTTTTGCATTTCGATTCCCCCTGAAAACACAATTCCATCGCTGTGCCCCCACCTCCAGCGTCTGCCTACAAATCTGCCAGTCAGAGTGGGATGCTTCACGCATCTATAGACTCGAGTTTAGGTGACTATTGAAAGAGTCAAGTTCAGAGGAAGTGGTTAATATCCATGTCCAAAGACTGCCTTTCTCAGTGCTGGGAACAATATGGACTGGCGATTACTTCTGGGCCTTTTTTGTCTGATTGTCATAAACATCTGAGCAGGAGTTCTTGGAAACAAGTTTGCTGGGCTAGAAAACTTTCAAGTGATGTAAGCTTTGGCCCTGGAAATACCATCACGACACCCAGAACGCCTTCTTGCTCACAAACAAGTCCTGTTGATTACTTAACAGTCCAGATTGGTTGTGGCCAAGGAAAAACACACAAACACCCACCCACACGCACATGCTGCTCGCTCTTGCCCTAGCGATTTGGGTGCATCAGGAACAAGGAATACAAGCAAGCACAAGGAGTGCGAAGGGCTCATGGAAGAAGACAGAGTTTGTGAAAAACCAGACGGAAAGGAAGTTCAATGCAAGCCCAAAGTCTCCAGTTGAGCTGCAACACCATTATCTGTTGCTCTTGGGGTCAGCAAAAAGGAAGGAGAGACGCACGGCCCTGGGTGCTTTGCAGCACAGACCCACGCTTCCAACATCTATCGTTCTGGACCAGCTCCTGAGCTCCAGCCACTGTCAGTAATCCGAGGTACTTCATAAAGGCATCTTGCGAGTCACTTTGGCCCTGCTCTTGGTTACACGGGCGAGTTGGCTGCTGATCCACTGAATCAGCATCGGCCAGAAGCAGCCTCATGCGGGTCACAACAACCGAGAGGCCTTGGAGAATGGCTAAAATTTATTTCTCTGCTCTGAGAATCGGAAACTCATAAACCGATTCCTAAGTTGTCCCAGATGGCAAATACATCTTAGAGTTTCTTGGATGGCT